AATTTATAATAAACATATAAAAATATATAGTTGACTAGGATCTTTCTTGTAGAATACATAAATAATGCACATAATAAGCGTAGATATATTTTGATAAAAAAAAAATAAGTAAAATCTTGTAGAATAAAAGAAAGATTAGAGCTCGCTTCAACTCGCATCCTTATCATGCAAATGAGATGCTCCAGCCTTCTATACTAGCCAATAAACCCCATTTTGAAGCGTATAGCTTGTGAACAAATATGAAGAACAAAAAGAAACTAGTTTGCTGCAGAGCGAAGAGTTCTATTAATACACCAGACTTTGGCCATAAGACAAAGATGCGTGGCCATTAAATTCAATTTGAAGGCTGAACATTGGCCTTGAGTAAGAACTTTATGTCTGACTGAATGATACTCAACTCGGCCGTATGTGTGTGTGTGTGTGTGTGTGTGTGTTGCAGGGATGCTGCTGCACAGGAGCATCAGCGTGTCTAGAAAGCAAAGCGCGGCTTTTACTGCCCCAAGAAGAACAACTCATGTCCATGGCAATTTTTACAGCAATAATTTACAATAATGACTGGCGTTGCGGTCATTGTGCCGCCTGGGTCACGTTGTCTGCGCTTATCGTGCCTGCTTAGTCGATTGTCCGATTGCTAACCCATTCCATGCCCCACGCCACGCCCCTCGTCACTCGCCACTTGCCACTCGCCACTCCTGGAGCCTGTGAGCATAAAATGAGTCAGGAGTGGTTCTCTGCATGGCTCGTTGCTTGGTTGGTTTGAAGCCCGTTGACCGATTTGCGAGAGCAGCTTGGCAATATCTTGATGCACGAAACGAGTCGGCTGCAGCTCATAAAGTAGGCCGTTGACTGTTGGCCAAAGTCAAGGCCTGGCCAAGACAAGAGCAACGCCAAAAGAGTTGGCCAAAGCATATTACATTGCATGCGTCTGGATGACTGAGTGCCTGTTGTAGTGATTAAAATGTTTTAAAGGCTTCACTTTTTTGCCGTTGTTGCTATTGTTGTTGCTGTTGTTGTTATTGTTGTTGTTCTGGCCATTACTTTAATTGTGACCTGCTCGCCTATTAAAAATCCCCTGCCATCTCTTCATTATTATTTTGTTTCGTTTTTTCCTTTGCAGTCTGCGGCCGTCGCATGTTCCCCGAGCCGCGCATCGTTGGCGGCGCAAACTCTGCCTTCGGCCGCTGGCCATGGCAGATATCCCTGCGCCAATGGCGCACCTCAACCTATCTGCACAAGTGTGGCGCAGCGCTGCTCAACGAGAACTGGGCAATCACCGCCGCGCATTGCGTTGACAAGTAAGTGCCTCTCAAACTCGACTGATAAAGACGGTTTTTATACGAACACACCAACGCGGCCCGTTCGCCCCCTGCTCTTTCAGTGTGCCACCCTCTGATTTGCTGTTACGTCTGGGCGAATACGATTTGGCTGAGGAAGAGGAGCCCTATGGCTTCCAGGAGCGACGTGTGCAAATTGTTGCCTCCCATCCACAGTTCGATCCGCGCACCTTCGAATACGACTTGGCGCTGCTCAGGTGAGTGCGAAAAACAATGCAAATTCTTTAACAAAATTTACTATTTATTTTGATCATATTTTTCTCAATTTTCTTTAAGATTCTACGAGCCCGTAGTGTTCCAGCCGAATATCATACCCGTCTGTGTGCCCGACAGCGATGAGAACTTTATTGGACAGACGGCCTTTGTCACCGGCTGGGGTCGCCTCTACGAGGATGGCCCACTGCCGAGCGTGCTGCAGGAGGTGGCTGTGCCTGTCATCAACAATACCATCTGTGAGTCGATGTACCGCTCAGCGGGTTACATTGAGCACATACCGCACATATTCATCTGTGCCGGCTGGAAGAAGGGCGGATACGATTCATGTGAAGGTAAACTTGAGCATATATACACAAACACACCCACACGCATACACACATACCTACATATGAATGCATATGTGATTTATGGCAGCAACTAATTGGATTTCACTCACTTTTCAGGTGACTCTGGTGGCCCCATGGTGCTGCAGCGCGAGTCGGATAAACGCTTTCATCTGGGCGGCGTCATCTCGTGGGGCATCGGCTGTGCGGAGGCTAATCAGCCAGGCGTTTACACGCGCATCTCTGAATTCCGAGACTGGATCAATCAGATTCTACAATTTTAGTCGCATCGTAGTCTTGATCGCTGTATTATGCCTAAATCCTTAGCGAATGCCCAGCAAATCCGCACACGATATCCAAATCGTGAACTGAGTCCTCAACTCAACCCAACTCAAACTCAAACTCGAACTCGTTCTTTGGTTATGGGCACGCACTCCTATCATCCACATCGAGTCTAGCGCATAACCCAAGCAACGATTTCAGTTCAAATTAATTATCATTTTCTGCACCACACTGCACCACATTTGCAACAATTCAAGCAACAGACACAATAGCAGAAACTAAAGCTTAAATTAGGTCCATTTGTTACACTATTCATTTCTGAAAATGATTTTATATTTAACAAAAAAAAAAAACCCAGAGTTGACGACTCATTTGAACATTTTAATTTATTTTCCCTCCCTTTTGCTCTGTATATAATTTTCTAAATTATTGCATAACCATTATTTAGCTTGTAAGTTTATTTAATAGAAATTTGACAAATCGCTCTACTCGATGTAGTGCATTTGATTAGGCGCTTCTTTTTCACGAAGTTTTTTAACAAAAAATAAATAATAATAATAAAAAAAAAACACACAACAAAAAAACAATTTAGAAAAGAAGCTATTGTAATTTAATTTAATATGCGTATTGTAATTATTTATTTAAAAGCACAACAAATTAATTCAATTAAAATGTTTAAAACAAGCTCTACATTGTTTCATTTTCTAACTGGCAAAAAAAATTTACAGTTTTTATTTTTTTAACAATAAAAGTTGAATAATAAAAAAGGAAATACTTTTTTTTTTTTTTTTTTTTTTGAGCTAAACATTAAGACCAAAAAATGTTTTTTTTTTTTTTGTACAATCTTTAATAATTTATTTATTTCC